TATATATATATATATATATATATATATGTATATATATATATGTATATATATATATATGGGTTTAAGTGAATAAGCAAACAAAAACAAAGAAGAGAAAGATAAAAAAAAATACAAACAGAACAACAACCAACAAAAAACACAAAAACAAAAAGAGATAAAAACAAAGATAACAAAAAAACAACAAACAACAAATAAAAAAACAAAAAGCAAACAAACACCAGCAACAAAGACAAAGACAAAGACAGCAGCAGCAGCAAAAACAAAAACAAAGAAAAAGCCTTACTGCTGCAGCAGCAACAGCAACAGCAACAGCAGCAGCAAAAAATACAACAAACAAACAAACACCAACAACAAAGACAGCAACAGCAACAAAAACAAAAAAAACAAAGACAAAGACAAAGCCCTACTGCTGCAGCAGCAGCAGCAACAAAGACAGCAGCAGCAGCAAAAAAAAAATACAAAGACAAAGACAAAGCCTTACTGCAGCAGCAGCAACAGCAGCAAAAAAAAAAAATACAAAGACAAAGACAAAGACAACGCCTTACTGCTGCAGCATTTCTTCTCTGTGTGTCTGCGTCAGCAGCAGCGAGACAAGCAGCAGCAGCTCTGCTGCTAGCGCCACCACTCCCTCACTAGGGTCTTCAAGCCCGAAGCAAATAGCTTTTATAAGAATATAAAGAGGTACTTGAGTTGCTGCTGCTGCTGCTGTTGCTGCTGCTGTTTTTGTATCTGCTGCTGCTGCTGCTGCTGCTGCTGCTGCTGTTTCTGGGGTTGTTGGTGTCGTTGCTGCTGTCGTTGCTGCTGCTGCTCCTGCTGCAGGTGATGGCGATCTGCTTTGAGCTGCTGCTGCTGCATGCTCTGTTGCTGCTGCATGTACCAACATTCCACTATCAGCAGCAGCAGCAGCAGCAGGAGCAGCAGCAGCAGCAGCAGCAGCAGCAGCAGCAGCAGCACGAGCTACTTGTGAGAGAGAAACAAATGCTGCTTTTCGCAGCTTCAGGCCGCCATCTATTTTGTGTTTAAATGGGCCCACGTCCACCAGCGTTATCCACTCCTCCCGCACCTGCAGCAGCAGCAGCAGCAGCAGCAGCAGCAGCAGCAGCAGCAGCAGTAGCAGTACAAGCAGCAGCAGCAGAAGCAGCAGCAGCAGTAGGGGGAGGAGCAGCACAAGTAGGAACAGCAGTAGGAGCAGCAGCAGCAGCAGCAGCAGCAGAAGTAGGAGGAGGAGCAGCAGCAGCAGCAGCAGGAGTAGCAGCAGGAGTAGCAGCAGCAGCAGCAGCAGCGGCAGTAGGAGCAGCAGCAGGGGCAGCAGCAGTAGGAGCAGCAGAAGTAGGAGCAGCAGCAGCAGCAACAGCAACAGCAGCAGCAGCAGCAGAAGTAGAAGAAGCAGCAGCAGAACCCTAAGCTACCCACTATGCATCGCAAGCAAAATCCTAAACCCTAAACCCTAAACCCTAAACCCTAAACCCTAAACCCTACCTCAAGCGCCTGTAGAAGGTGGTTAGCGAGGGTTTCTGTTTCTTTTATTAAACACCATCTTTGTGCTGCTGCTGAGGTGTATATACACCCCAACGTCATCACTGCTGCTCGTCGCACCTAAACAGAAGCAGCAGATGATGCTGCAGCAGCAGCACTAAAACTAGGGTTTAGGGTTTAGGGTTTAGGGTTTAGGGGTTGGGGTTTAGGGGTACGGGTCTGGGTTAGGGTTTAACGCAACAGAAGCAGCAGCAACTGCAACTGCAGCAGCAGCAGCAGCAAGACAGCAGCAGCAGCAGCAGCAGCAGCAGCAGCAGCAGCAACAGCAACAGCAACAGCAATACCAACAGCAGCAGCACCAGCAGCAGCAGCAGCAACAGCAACAGCAACAGCAACAGCAGCAGCGACCACAACAAAACAAAACAGCAGCAGCAGCACCACCACCACCACCACCATCAGCAGCAGTAGCACCACCACCACCACCACCACCACCATCAGCAGCAGCAGCAGCAGCAGCAGCAGCAGCACTAGATTACCCTGATATCTTGTTCAGCAGCAAGACAACCTAAAAATGAATATTTTAAATAAAGCGGCAGCAGCAAGCTCTCTGTTGCTGCTTCCCTGCAGCAGCAAAAAAAACAAAACAAATATAAATTTTATTTTTTATTTTTTATTTTTTTATATTTTTTTTTTTGTTTTGTTTATTTTTTTCTTTTTCTCCTTTTCTTCTGTCTCTTCTTCTTTATCTCTCTTTGTTTTTCTCTCTGCGGCTGTCTCCTCTGCACTCTAAACCCTAAACCCTAAACCCTAAACCCTAAACCCTAAACCCCAAACCCTAAACCCTCAACGCTCAACCCTAAACCCTCACAACCAAACCCTAAACCCTAAACCCTAACCCTAAACCGTAAACCCTAACACACCCCTAAACCCTAAACCCTCACCCCTAAACCCTAAACCCTCACCCCTAAACCCTAAACCCTCACCCCTAAACCCTAAACCCTAAACCCTAAACCCTAAACCCTCGCAAACCTGAGTACAGCAAGGCCCGTTAGTTTTTGTTCTGTTGTTTCTCCCCCCAGGAATTTATTGATAGCAGCAAATAAGCAGCAGCTGCAGCACGATGATTTTTCTTTTTCTTCCTTGCTGCTGCAGCTGCTGCTGTTGCTGCTGCTGCAGCAGCAAGAGAAGCAGCAGCAGAGATGCACCATACACTCTGCTATTGCTGCTCTTTCTCCTTCGTTGCGGCTCGAAGACAAAAGAGAAAAAACAGACAGCAGCTGAACGCATGCACAACAACATTGCTGCTGCTGCTCCTGCTGCTGCTGCAGTTGGTGCTGTTGCAGGTGCTGCTGCTGCTGCAGTGTTAGGTGTTCATGCTGCTGCTGCAGCAGGTGCTGCTGCTGCTGCTGTTGCTCTTTGGGGGTCTGGCAGTTCCTGCTGCTGTTGCTGCACTTGCTGCTGCTGCTGCTGCTGTTGCGGCTGCTGCTGCTGTTGCGGCTGCTGCTGCTGTTGCGGCTGCTGCTGCTGTTGCGGCTGCTGCTGCAGTCTTTTTGCATGCAACAGCAGCAGCAACAGAAGCAGGGAAAGCAGCAGCAGCAGCAGTAGCAGCAGCGGGAGCAGCG